GACTTAAAGTAATAAAATGTGTTTTAAAAAAAAAAAAAGTAATAAAATGTAACAATATAATTGTTTCTGACATTACTGTGAAAAAGCATGCATTGTTGCTTTTTAAGTAATTTAGGATGATTTGATTTTAAGGATGAGTTGTGAGTCGTGTGTGAAAATGAAAATGATGGTTAAAAACTGATTTATTTATTTATACCATGTTTATTATACATTTAAAATTTAAATATAATCTTTTAAAAATCCTTTGATCAAATTAACATGAAGAAAATAAAATTGGTTGACTCAAACCCTCTGAAAGTCTGAACACTCAACCGATGATTGCGGCCTCGAAATTATTAAAGAAAATAAAAACATTAATCTTTATACTTATGGGACTTATTGAAATGATCAAATCTGGAGCTGATGATCGAAGTTAAAAGTCAACAGCTTTTTGGTTCTATTTTGATGGGTTTTATTATTTTTAATTATTATTTAATATTTGATTTGAAGCTGTAACGCGTCAAACACAAGACAAAATCAGTCTCTCTTTTTCTCTCTATATATTATCTCAAGTACAAGTGATTCCTCCACTTTTTTGGTCAAAAAAATTATTTTGCATGCAAAGCCCCATACATTTACTTTCCCCTCAATTTTTGCTCATTTACACTTTTATCCTCAACAAGAAATTTTTTTATAGTTTAGTAGTGAAAGATATACGCAAATGAAAAGTTGGCTATATGGACAAATTCAGATGGGCTCAAATTTGCAATCGGTTCAGATGGACTTCTTTTGGTCTCATTTGATTGCTTTCAGGACCAATTTTTCTTCCAAGTCAATTTTATGAAAATGAAAGGGTAACTTACAAAAATACCATTTCTTTTGAAAAATCATATGAAACATGCTTTGGAAGTAAAAATACTATATGAAACATGCTTTGGAAGTAAAAAAAACTGTGTAAAATCGTTGTCACTTTTTTTTAATAGAAAAAGTGATCCAATAAAAAAAAGTGACAATGAAAAAGTGACACACTGTCACTAAGTGTCAGTTTTTAATTAAAAAATGACATATAATGTCACTTTAATTAAAAATTGATGTTTGTCACTAAAAAAATGATAGAAATCAAGAAGGTGACTGAAAAAAGTGATAAATACTAAAAAAAAAGTGACCAACTATCACTTTTCAAAGTTAAGTGTCATTTTTTTAATGACACGCAATGTCACTTTTATTGAAAATTGAAAAAGCAACAAACACTAAAAAAAACTGACAAAACACCAATAAAAAACAAAACAGACATGGCAAGTCTGGTTGAAGCCAACACAATGAAACGGAAGAAAGTGGGATTCTCAAGACCAATAAGCTAGTAAAACACAAAAACTTGGGGATAAGTCTATTAAAAACTTCAACAATTATACATGGATTAGCATTCCTCGGGCAGCAAAGCCTTCAGTCCAGTCCAGTGCAGCATAACATCAATCTCATC